CGAACTTTTCTCCCTCTCCTTCCTCCCTCTTCTCTCTTCCTACATCCTCACTCTCCACCCCCTTTCTCCCTTCTCTATTCATTCTCTTCCACCTCTTCCCCTCCCTCCATCCATCTCTCTATCTTTTCCCCCTCCTCTCCTCTCCTCCATCTTTTCACCTCTTTCCCTCCCTCCTTCCTTTCACCCTCTCCTTCCCTCTCTCCTTTCACCCTCTCCTTCCCTCTATCCTTTCACCCTCTCCCTCCCTCCCTCTCTCCTTCCCTCTATCCTTTCACCCTCTCCCTCCCTCCCTCCCTCCCCCACCCACCCTATGCACAAACGCCCCGACCTCCGTGCCCGCTTATTCACTACTTTGTACCACGCTTCGGTAGCGCTTCCAGCCTCAACAATGGCCCTCCTGCCTCACACCTCACACCTCACACCTTATCCTGCCTCATACCTGGCTACTGATAGGTTACGCCCCGAGCCAGCATCTCTTATCTGAGCTATTAGCGTAGTCTGGGGCCGGTTCTTACTCGGCGGTAAAGCACACACACACTCGCGGGGACGGGGGAGGGAGGGAGGGAGGGTGAGGACGGGGGAGGGAGGAAGGGTGAAGACGGGAGAGGGAGGGAGGGGAGGGTGAGGGTGGGGAGGGAGGAGGGTGAAGACGGGAGAGGGAGGGACGATGATGATGATGAGGAGGAGGAGGAGGAGGAGAGGGTTAGAGGTAGTGGGAGGAAGGAGGATGGGAGGGAGGGGAGGGTGGGAGAGGGAGGAAGGGGGAGAGAGGTAGGATGGAGAGGGTGGAAAAGGAGAAGGAGGGAGGAAGGCAGATCGGGAGAAAATGAGAAAGGAATAAAGACGGCGGGAGAGGGAGGAAGGGAGCTAGTAAGAAAAGGAGAGAAGAGAGGGAGAAGGGAGGAAGAGAAGGATGCAGGGAGGGAGAAAAGGAGAAGGGGAGATGAAAGGGGAGGAAGTGAAGGAAGGAAGGAAGGAAGGAGAGAGAGAGTAAGAAAGGAGAATGGAGAAGGAAGAAGAAGGGAGAGATAAAGGCAGATAAATAGGAGAGGGAGAAAGAAATGGAGGAAGTAAGGATAGGTAGGAGGGAGAGAAAGAGATAGAAGGAAAAGGAAGCAAGGTGAAAGAGAGATGGAAAGGGAGAGAGGCCGTGGATGGATCTTCGCATTTTCTCTCTATCTCATTCGTTTCTTGCTTCTCTCCACTGTCTTCTTTTTCTTACTTCGCCTTCCCCCCTTCCTATTCTTAATCATCTGTTCTTCTCTCTCTCTCTCCTCTATCTCTCCCTGCTTCCCCCTTTCCCTCTATCTTTCACTCCTCTCTCTCTCTCTCCCTCCCTTCTCCCCTCCACCCCCCTTCCTTCCCTCCTTACCTCCTCCTTCCCTCCCACCCTCCCTCCCTCCTTCTCACCCTCCATTCGCTATCGCACTTTCATCCCCCGACCTCTCCCCCGTCTTCCTTTTGGGTCGATACTTATGACGCTGCCGGTCGATTCGGACAAGTGGATTAGGCTATAGAATATTGATCAATCATGACCACCGGCGCCGCGCACTTGGGATCGGGAAGCTGGGGGGGAGAAGGGTGAAGGGAGTTGGGGAGTGGGGGGAGGAAGAGGGGGAGGGGACGGAGGAGGAAGGGGAAGGGAAAGGAAGGGAGGGAAGAGGGGGAAGGGGGAGGGGAAGTGGGAAGGGAAGGGAGGGAAGGAGGGGAGGGAAAGGAGGAGGGGAAGGGGGGAGGGGAGGGAAAGGATTAGAGGGAAGGGAATGGGGAAGGGAGGGAGGAATGGGAAGGGAAAGGGAAGGGCGGAGGAGGGGGAAGGGAATGGGGGAGGGAAGGAAGGGGTAAGGGGTAAGAGGGAGGGAGGGGAGAGGGGAGGGATGTTTGTGCGTAGGATGAGGAGTTGGGGAGGGGGTGGGAGGAGGGAGAAGGGGAGGGAGAGAGAGGTTTGTGTGGAGTGCCGATTATTGGTGAAATCATCGTTATCATCATCACAATCTTTCCTACTATTATGAAGATAAAAATTACCATTATCGTCACCGTCGTCATCATCATCATTACCATTATTATATTAAGTGTTATCATCATCATCAATGGTATTACCATTATCAATATCATAATAATGATAATAATAATATCAGTACTGATAATATCTATTACTATTATAATTATCATTCATATAGTACTATTATTATTATTATTATTATCATCGCTGCTGCTGGTATAATTATCATTATCATTATTGCTATAGATATCATCATCGTCATCGTCACCCTCCTCCTCCTCCTCCTCCCCCTCCCCCTTATCCCCCTCTTCCTCTTCCTCCTCCTCCTCCTCCTCCTCACCATCACCATCATCCACCCGATTAAAAAAAGCGACAAAGGCCCACGAATCTACAGCAGGTGAAAACTCTTCTAAAACAGATTTCTCCCTCTTCTCTCCCTCAGCCATGAAGCACACGCCCGCCAGCCGAGCGGAGGCGCCCAATCTGGAGTTCCTGAAGGTGAGTTCTTTGGGCTGAGGGCGTTCGGAGGGAGGGAGATGGAGGAGGAGGAGGAGGAGGGCGTGTGGGAAGGAGGAGGAGGAGGAAAATATGAAGATGGGGGAGGAAGAGGAGGCAGAGAGGGAGGGGGGAGGAAGGTAGGCAGGAGGAAGAGGTTGTGTGGAATGGAGGTGGAAGAGGAAGAGGAGAAGATGAAGATGGGGAAGAAGGAGGAGGAATAACCCAACAAAAGCTAGAAAACCCAGTTCGGACTCAGCTGTGTGTGGTTCCTCGTTCTCCTGGCTTCACGGACGCACGCTGACCCCCGAACGACCTAGCGTGGTGGCTCAGATCGCGTTGTACAATTTTATTTTTGGAATCGACTCAGTCTTGTGAAGATACTATTCATAGCAACGATGAGAATAATAGAAGTGCTGATGATAATGGTAGTGGGTAGAGGAGAGAAGGATAAAGACGAATAGAATTAATATTCGTAGTACAGATACTGGTGACAGCAGTGCTGATTATAATTGTTCTAATGAAATGAGATATAAGATACCATCCCCAGCTTAAGAACTGATCAGCGAACACACAAACTTTCACGCATAAATTACCTTCTAATTATGCATTGCTAGATAGGAGAGCTATCAGTATAAATGATAATTATCATTTTTAAAATTACTATTGTTGTGAATCATTGTTAAATTACGATCACTGTTAAAGATTTTTGTTACGTTCATTATCCTATTCCCTGCCTTTGAACTTATAAAACGATCAATCTCTCTGGCTTGGGAAAGGAGATGGAAGGAGATGATAAAGGGGAAGATAAGGAAGAAGAGACACGTGGCGGAGGAGAGGAAGCGGAGATAGAAAGATAAAGAAAGACGCAGTAGGGGCGTACGGAGAGAGGTTGGGGGAGGAAAGAAGATAAAAACATGAGAGAAAAGAAGACGAAACAGGAAGAAGAAGGATCGGGAAAAAGGAAATATATAAATAGATAATTGTAATTATATATATATATATATATATTTATACGTATATATATATATATATATATATATATATATATAAATATATATATATATATATATATATATATATATATATATATATATATATATATATATATATATATATATAAGGAAATATATGTATGTGTGTGTGTTTGTGTGTATATCTATCTACTATTTATCTATCTGACTTTCTCTATATTCACTTATATACATCTTCAACCATCTATTTATATATGTGTGTGTAATACATGAATATATATATATATATATATATATATATATATATATATATATATATATATATATATATATATATATATATATATATATATATAAATGGCCAGATGTCTCTCTCCCTTGTCGGCAAGTAATCCGTCACTTGCCAGCTGCCGCGAGCTTTGCGACACCCAAATTGAGACAGATTCGCCCGCACATTCACCTGTCAAATGGTGTGACGACATTCCTGAAATTTCCTTTACATCATTTGTTGTCTCTCTCTCTCTCTTTCCACCACTTTCCGTTTACTTTACCTTCTCTCCTTTCTCTGTCATCTCCCCTCCTCTGTTTTCACCCATTTCCCCTTTTTAGCATTCTTTTTCTTTCTCTGTTAACCTTTTCCTCTTCTTTTCTCTCCTTCTTCACCGGTCTCCTTTCCTTTGTTTTACGCCTCTTTCCTTTTTCTCTCCCCCCCCCCATTCGCTTTTTCCTCAAGTCCTCTCTTCATTTTTCTTCTACCTCCTCCCTCTTTTCTCCCCACCCCTTCCCTTTCTTCTTCCTCCCCCCTCTCTTCTTCTTCCGCCCCCCCTCTCTCTCCTCCACCCCCCCCCCCTCCCCTCCCCCGGCCTCCCGTTGCTCGATACCATCAGACACGCGACACAGCGCTGTCTCTCGCGGTGCCCAACACTCGCGACTGACACACAATAGACAGCCGGATGTTGGCACGGGTGTGGGCAGGGTGTTCGGGTGATGGGTGTGGGCACGGGTGAGGGCACGGGTGAGGGCACGGCGTTCGGGTGATGGGTATCGCGACAGCTCCGGCGGCGTCGCCATAATGGATCGGGGCGTCCGCGTCGACGGCTTAAACAAACAGGGCATTGTGACGTCATCGGAAGGGCGGGGGTGCTGGAATGGGGGGGGGGGGGAGAAAGGAGATGGACACGCGTCTTCGCGTCGCGGGGTATCGGAAAGGGGGGGGGGGTATGTAGAAATAGAGAAATTAAGGGAAGCAATATACATACACATATACATATATATATTTACACACACACACACACACACACACACACACATATATATACATATATATATATATATATATATATATATATATATATATATATACGCACATACACACATATAATAGGACAAAAAAAGCTGAAATCCTTGCAACAAAATATATTTCTTTCCGCTCTTTTTTATGCATTTCAATGGAAATGCATAAATACATATTGGATTTCTGATAAAGCAATTTTATCTATCAATCAATTGCTCCAATAGTTACATGGAAATTTAATGTACATGTGATTTTAGTTAGGCATCAAGTATCACACCAAGAATAGTCTGTTCCTCCGCATTTTATAAAAAGAAAGAAAATTCTTGAGAACAAGTATCCGAGGCAAATATTTTGATATTTCGTTCAAATCAATAACTTTGAATGAAAACTTTTATTTTCTTGCTTTAGACACAAGTTGATTTTTCGTCTGTTGTTAATCTATAAATTATAATTAATTTTGGCTTCTTATTTTAAGTTTTCCTTTATTACTCTAAAGGATATGTGTAATATTATGCTCACTATTCGTAAATCAAAGTCAGCTGAGCAAATTCTCGCCTTTGTTGCGGCAAAGTTGCACTCTACATTGCGTGCATCTTGAGACTGGTCTTGACTCCTCCTGCTTCTTGACCCCCACCTCACAGTCCCCCGACCCTCCCCCCCACTCACAATTCCATCCCCCCCCCCCCCCCCTTCTCTCTATAGACTCCGACCAAGCGCACTTCTTTGCTCGAGAGCCTTTCCAAATTTCCCAAATTTAAATAACTTTTTAATTTTATTTATTTATTTTTTTTTTGTCTCTTTTGCTGGTTATGTTTGTATTTTTATCCCACGAATGGCAGAGGAGACCTGTCGCCAACTCTCACCTGAGATTTTTAAGGTTCAGTTAAACGTCGGGATAAGAATCACTCATTTACTAAAAAACATTTACATCTGCCATGTCCATAAGGTCAAGAGAGAGAGAGAGAGAGAGAAAAAAAGGGAGAGAGAGAGAGAGAGAGAGAGAGAGAGAGAGAGAGAGAGAGAGAGAGAGAGAGAGAGAGAGAAAGAGAGAGAGAAGAAGAAAAGATTTCGAAGTATTTGTATTTGTCATGTCTATAAGGCCAAAACAAAAAAAAAAAGAGAGAGAGAGAGAGAGAGAGAGAGAGAGAGAAAAAGCATACGTATTTACAACTGTTCTGCCCCCCCCCCCCCAAGAAAAAACGAAGCATTTACAGTTATATTTGTCAAATAAAAAAAAAATAAGAAAGGAAATGGAATAAAATTACGATTCTACGATTCAACGCCCTTCCTGTGCAGAATATACACCTTCATTCATACACTCTTAACCGCACTGGAACCCCCAGCCACACACCCCAAACCTGACGGAACGAATCGTGGTCGTCACCCCCCCCCCCCCAACCCCTCCCCCAGGATGCCGTAATCCAGCAAATCCGAACAAGGAACCATAGATTTTTATTTTCTTTTAATTTCTTTATTTTCTCTTTACGTTTTTTTTCTTTTCTCTTTTACTTTCTTTTCTTCTTCTATTTTTTCTTACTTGTCTCTGCATTTATTTCTGTGGAGTGTGGTGAGAATGAAGTCCATGGATATTAATATCAGATGGTCTGGTTTATTTAACTTATACTTCCTTACTGCTGACCCCGTGGAAGGCAGGGAAGGAGAGGTGGATGGATAGGAAAAAAAATATATTCACAGACATAAATGAATGATTGAATATATGTGTGTGTATATATATATATATATATATATATATATATATATATACACACACACACACACACACACACACACACACACACACACACACACACACACACACACACACACACACACACACACACATATATATATATATGGTCAGGGAGGGTTGTTATTTATCCATATCAATGCGGCACTTCATTTTTGCTTCTTTCATATAGATAGGTAGATAGATAAACAGACAGATTGATAGATAGATAGATAGTTATAAACAGGCATATGTTATATTTTATCCGATAAGCGACACAACATTCTCAAAGTTCATTCATGGCGTTCAGAAGTGTCTCATTTCATGCTGAAGGAATCTTAGCGTTTGCTTACGATACGTGATCGAAAACATGACGATACGTTCTAGGAAACAAGAGTGAAGGGCGATTTAGGAAGAAGAGGAAGACACGAAAGCTTTGAAACAGCTGTAGGAGGCAGAAAAGACCTAGGTAAGGGTGAGAACGCCACAGGGAGGAAGAGTGAAGGGTGAAGCTCTCTGATGAACAGGGAGGTTTCGTAAGAGAATGGCTAGATAAGAGTGAATGATGAAGCTCCTTAAGGTAGAAAAGAGCTCTATAAGAGTGAAGGAAAGAGATTAGCTCCGTAAGAGTGAGACTGAATCTATAAGGCAGAAAAGAGCTCCGCAAGGATGAAGGGGGAAGCTCTCTAAGGCAGAAAAATCAACAACTTAAGGGTATAAGTTGAAGGTTTCAGAAACAAACAAACAAAAAAAACAAAACATAGGGTGAAGAAATTAAAAGATGTAGCGTTCCATGAGGGTGAAAGCGGCTCGGTAAGGGTGAAGGGCAGCCCCCTAAGGGAGAAGGGGTAGCACCCTGGCTCCCTCAGCACGGACATTTCACCGTAAATCCGTCACCCTCACACTTCGGCCGCAAGACTGATAGACAATAAGCGACGGAGGACACTTTATAGGCCGGGAATCACATGGACGAGGCTCTCACGGGGATGGGTGGTGGGGTGGGTGGGAG